TCCCAGAAGCTTGCCCTCCTCCTCCCTTCAGATGCCAATCACAAGTTCAGGTTGTCACCTGTGCTTCTGATTGACTGGCGATAAATCAGAGGTTCCCACGACTCCTGACCCCCTACTTGGGTTTCATTAATTTGTTAGAGCAGCTCACAGATGGGAAATTATAGAAACTCACAAGGGAATTATAAAATGGCTTTGGACTTTGCACAAGCCATTGATGTGGGGAAGGTTTGTAAAGCCAGCAGGCAGATCTTCTGGGGAAGCTGGCCCTAGCTGACATCCAAGTACCTCTCACAGTGAGATGCATCTCTCTCCCCAGTTCTAGCTCCTTGGTCTGGCTGGGTGAGGTAGATGCTGCAGCCTGGTCAGGAGGCCAGGTAGCCTCATTGGCCCAGGGTGAGAGTCTAGGGGACAGGTTGTTTTGATGCTCTCACGGTGAGCTCTTGCAGTAAGAGCACCAAGGTGTCCCAGGGCGTTGACTGTTCTCTCCCTGGGTGCCTAATGGAGATTGACAGAATCTAACAGTTCAGGTAATTCTATTGTCAGTTTGTGCAGCCTCCTGCACCTCATTAGACAAAAAAGAAAGAGAGATCTGAGCAAAGAAGGAATGTCAGCCCCAGAGCAGAGGGGGCCTGTCAGAGTGAGCAGCCTTCAGGAGATGACAAGGTAGTGAGAAACTTACTTGGGCCCTCCATCCAGCCCCTCTAGGCCCTGGCTGGGAAACTGGGGCATTTGCACAAAGCTCTGTAGAGGGGAGCCGGTGTGGACTGTTCAGGTTCAGCTGCAGGCCCTACTGCTCCCTGAGGGACAGAGTGAGGGAGGCTAAAAAAGATCATCTCTTAAGTTGCCCAGTTCCTGGGTCACAGGCTCCTCCTGGCGGTGGGACCCATCAGGGAGGTGTGTCTGGGTGGTTTGGATGTGAGCAGCAAGTGGATAGTGTTGGAGCTCAAAGCCTTATTTGATTTATCTAGACCAGCGGTTCTCAACCTGTGGGTTGCGCCCCCTTTGGCGGTCCAACGACCCTTTCACAGGGGTTGCCTAAGACCATCCTGCATATCAGATATTTACATTACGACTCATAACAGTAGCAACATTACAGTTATGAAGTAGCAACGAAAATAATTTTATGGTTGGGTCACAACATGAGGAACTGTATTTAAAGGGCCAGAAGGTTGAGAACCACAGATCTAGACCTTTAGGATTTCACCCAGGATGGATAAATTGTGACAGACCATGGGAAATATAGAGAAATAGGAATCTGTCATTGTCCCACACTAGTATCCTGTCCCCAGACCTGGCCAAAAGTACACCCATACTTACATAGATACACACATAACACACCCAGCCCTCACATACAGAACCTCCTGCACAATATGCACAACCCTCACTCACCTACCCATACACATTCTTAAATACACAGAACTCTAGACCGAACATAGGTACCAACTACACATCCATACAACACCTACAGATTCATGCTGAAAGTGTTTGTCTACAAAGATTTTGTGTGTGGCTTATGGCATCAGACTCTTTGTCATCTATTTACATTGGACATATATATATATAGCTCACACACACATTCACACCCACCCACCATCCTCACAACACACAGCACGCACACAAACACCCATGCCACAAACACATTCACATGCACACACAAACATACGTGCCTCTTCCATTTTCACCATGCATGAAAGCTCCTGACCAGACCTGGTCACTGCGATGCTGCCTACGCTCTGCGTGTGCACACCTACTACTCACTCTCCCTCCCACGGGCACTCGGCAGGCCGGGCCAGTGTCCACATGGACTAGCAGAGCAGGAGTGCTTTCCTCCCCCATCCTGTCATTGACATGCAGCACCTGTCCTATCTTTAGTTCTTTGCACTCTGGCTTCGATTGGGTTGAATGCCAGAGTCTGCCTGGCACAGAGCCCAGAGCAGCAACTGAAAAGCCAATATCCTGTGGGCCTGAACCTCCATGAGCCCGGCTGGGTGCATGCCAATTCTGGAAGGGCCATCAAGGAAACAGGCCGCATAGGTGGCCCCCGCCCGTCACCAGTGCTGTAGAGAGCCATGGGATGAGTCAGCACACGGCATCCTCTTTTCACGTCTCCTTTCTCCTCCTCAAAATCCTGGACATTCCGGGTATTCCAGGCCTTTCCCAAACTAGAAGAACGAGTGAGGCCCGAAAGAGATACCAGCTTAGAGAACCCAGAATTGGAGTCTGGCCTGTTCCATTTCCCATTAGCTTTTGGTTGGGCATCACTATAGCCCCATGATCTGGAACATGACCGGAACAACTAATTTTAACTGAAAAAAATATGAATGTATGTTACCTTGTGAAATAGGACCCACACTGCTCTCTCAGAGACATCTGTGCATTATAATGAGACATGCAACTGTGAGGAATTTTTTGCTGTTGTTGTGACCAACACCAGGTAGATAAATCATTTTCTTCTCCATTTTACTTTTTTTTTCTGGTCCTACCTACTCCCTGTGCCTTGCAATACCTGTTGCTAAATAGTAAGACTAGTTACCATTATATGTCAATTATACCTTAATAAAAATGACGATATCTACACTAATAAAAGAGAAACATGTAAATTGGTGTCACTCCGCTACACCCACCAGCCAATCAGATGAGTATGCAAATTAACCCAACAAAGATGGCAGTTAATTTGCATACGCAGGTGCAGAGCGAAGACTGAAGATGACGTAGAAGGAAGCCAAGCGCTGCAGAAGGGAGTGAAGCTGCGGAGAAGCAAGTGGGGCAGCAGAGGCAGAAGGGAAGCAAGCGGGACGGCATAGGCGGGAGCGAAGCCTGACTCGGCGGGTTTTGCTCCCTTCTCTGCTTCACTTCGGCCACAGGAAGCCCTATTCTTGCAGGAATCTTCCTGCAACAGGCCTCTAGTAGATAAATAAATAGGAAAGAAGAAAATAAAAGTCAAGATGCAAGGCCCTCTCATTGAAGAACAAGCCTCTCTTTGACAGCTTGCCTGACAAGACAGCTACCAGGAGCTTCCCACAGCCATGGGCAGTCACCCAGCAGGTGCCAAGCATTTCATGTGGTGAACACTGCCCGTGCTCTCAAAGAGCCTGTGTTAATAAAACACAAACAAACTGGGGAGCTGCCTGAAGGGCTTTGAGAAAGAGGGCCGCAGAGGAACAGACGAGCTGAGGACGTGGGTGGTCACTCTCCTGGGTTGACGAGGCCTCCACATACTTGCTGACAGAGCGGAGGGAGGCAGATCCTTATGATGAGAAGCCAGCAGCAGCCATGCAGGTCAACGCCACACTACCGTTTCCTGTCATCAGCAGGTGCTTGGTAACACAGCATCACTGTTGTGCAAAGAGCTAGTCTGCGAGAAGGAGTCAGGATTCTAGACCTGGCTCTGGGGTTGACTCCAGGCAAGTCATGCACCTCTCTGAGCCTCAGTGTCCCCATCTTCATGCAACCAGGCTCTTTCAGGCCTCACTATTCCAGAGGTGCAACCAAAGAATACAGATCACAGTAATGGTTGCAGACATGAAGGCTCTCGTGTTCCCCAAATAGGATCCCCCAAAGCACTGAAGCCTTAGTCCCCAAATACTCCTCGTATGGTTCAAAGGCTTCTTGGACAGGAAGAAATTGGCCATGACACTCTTCTTCTCCAGCATGATGTCCATTCTCTGTCCTCTGTCACTCTCCACTCACTTGCCTACTCTCTCCCTGTGAATCTCCAGTAACTAGAAGCTTTGGTCTCCGTATTCTGCAGGCATATGTTTAACCACGGGCTTTGAGGTGAGGGGAATGCCTGATTTGCAGGGTTTGCCAATTGCCACAGTGTAAACACTCCCACCATAGCTAATTTTAAGATATCAAATGTGATGTCACTGAGTGCAAACCCAGGAAGAGATTCATAGCATACCGTTATATGGTATAGTATTCTCACCACACAGATACAAAAGACATAAATAGCCTCAAGAGCGTCAATAATAATAAAATATAGTAAAATAATTAGGAAGTGATGAGTTTCCTTCATCACTTTGCTCTTATAATTTATTTAATTGTAGCTTTATGTAATTCACTTTTTAATAATGACTATGCTTAACAACTGTCTCATGAAAATTCCTGAAAAAAGGCATGGTCCTTCCCATCCAGCCCTTCTCAGACAAATAGCAACATTTGCAGAGGTGCATAGTTGAGGTCCTTGCTGTGGGAGCCTTACGGGTTAAACGGGGCGTTGGTTTCTGCATGCCTGATTTAGCTCCCTTGTTAACCTGTTTCCCCATCTGTCATATAAGACATTCCTCCCAGATTCCCCTCCCTCTGTTAGAATGGTATTGAGAGAAATAAGACCAGGGCGGTAGTGACACTTTGCTCTTTACGGAACCCTACAGTTCACTGAGCCCAAACCTCATATTAATTTTTCTCACAGCAATTCTGTGCAGTGAGGCCGGTGGAGCAGTGAAGTCAGTGGATGGACCATTTCACCCCGGGTCAGCAAACTTTTCTGTAGAAGACTAGAGAGCAAATATTTAGGCTTTGCAGGCCTTATGCTATCTATTGCAATGATCTGATCCTGCTATTGCAGGTTAAAAGCAGCCAAGACAATGGGTAAAAAATTGAGAGCGACTGTGTTTCAATAAACTTTATCTATGGACAGTGAAATTTGAATCTCATGTAGTTTTCACAAATCATGAAAATGTGATTCTTCTTTTGATTTTTTAAATCATTCGAAAATACAAAAATTGCTCTCAACTTGCAGGCCATGTAAAAACAAGCTGCAGGCGACAGTTTCGGGACCTCGCGGAAGAGGAACTTAAGCCTCAAGAGAACAATGTTTTAAGCAATAAAAAAAAAAAATTAAAAAAAAAAAGAAAAAGAAAAATAATTTTATGGTTGGGGGTCACCACAACATGAGGAATTGTATTGAAGGGTCGTGTTGGGAAGAAGGGTGAGAACCACTGATCTAAGGTCTAAAGCAAAGTGTACAAAAAAAAAAAAAAAAAAAAAAAGAACAATGACTTGTTCAAGTTGATATGAATGGACGGAGTTGGAACTGGCTTGGTTCCTCCTCCACTGAACTTTCTACTAAACCATCTGCCACAGAAAGGAGCAGCGCCTGCCCTTTAATATGCAGGTGAGTTGAGGGACTCGCAGCTGGATTCGCACTGAAGGTCTCTAATCCCAAGGGTTTGTGGGTCACATTCCTGACTCTGTAGCTGTAGTGGGTTTTCCTATGCATTGAAGTCAACGAGGAGAGGCTTAGGACATTGTGTAATTACAAGCGGTTTGTAACCCTGTTTCTCTGCGGGTAAGGCAGACAATTAAGGCATGTCACAGGAGAAGGGGAGAGATTTCCAGCTGCCCCCAGCTCCACGCAGGAAGGCCATCCAGACTGTGAGCACAAGGTTCAGGCTCTTCTTACATCTGAGGCTAGTGATCAGCTTCCTTACGTCTCCACTCTAATTTTAAAAGTCAAACCAGCCCTGGCTGGTTTGGCTCAGTGGATAGAGCATGGGCCTGGGGACTGAAGGGTCCCAGGTTCAATTCCGGTCGAGGGCATGTGCCTGGGTTGCGGGTTCAATCCCCAGTAGGGGCATGCAGGAGGCAGCCGATCAATGATTCTCATCATTGATGTTTCAATCTCTCTCTCTCCCTCTCCATTCTTCTATGAAATCAATAAAAATATATATTTTTTAAAAAGTCAAACCAAAGAAAAACCTATCTCAGCAAAGCCTTTAGGGACACTGTGGGTCCCAAGCTTGTCCTAGCTGAGCAAAGCCTTTGCTGAGATAGAGTTGGCTCCACCGGGAGGGGAGGGAGGCTGCTGACGGATGGAGCTGGGGAGTGGTTTGAACCCCAGAGGGGAGTGAGGGAGGCACGGGTCCTGTGGGTGGAGCCCTCCACACTCACCAGCTATGCTCTTTTGGAGTCTGGGGGACTAGGGCCAAGTCAGTATGGAGGACTAGACCCTCTGAGCAGCCCTCACCTCCTTGAAGGGACCCTACAGGTTTGGATGACGGGCAGAAGCCTTTCCCCACGTGTTCTCAATTCAGTGACTGTCCTGAACACTCAAACCACATGAGGGAGGGCAGGGGCTCGCCCAAGCATAGCGGAGCATTCCACCAGCGAGGTAGGTGGCATTTCAGAGGCATTTAATTTCGAAAATTGACACTCTACCCTGGCAGTGTGCATGGTAATGGGAGCAGGGGCCCCTCCCCAGCGCCAACGCCCCTCCCAGCCTGTGGGAATGTGGCGAAGGTCATCGGGAAGCTGAGTGTGAGGCCTGGGAGCCTGGCCAGCTCCCGGGTCAGGGAGAAACTGCTCCTGAGTGTGAGCCCGGATTGTAAACTGCAGGGAAACATTTCATTTCACACAGCCGTCCTGCGGGCCCTGTTTGCTTTGTTGTCTGTACTCCAGGTAACCCTGCGCTAGGAAAGTTTGGGTGGCGGTAGAACAATGGCACCCCGCCCCGCACCCTGCCCCACCCCCGTTGGCCACCACCTGTGCGCATGTAAATCCATGTCTTTCACAGCCAGTCCTCTGGGTTATTTTCTTTGGAATCTACAAACAATACGCTGAGGTTTTTTCGGACCTTGGCTCTTTGCCTAACAGAGTTCCCTCATTCTTTCTTCTTCCAGCAAGTCCTGTCTTGAGAGAAGTGCCCCTGGGAATGGTTACTTGGCAGAGAGGGGGTTTGGGACCCTGGAGAGGTTCTTCTCCTTCTGGCAGGTTTGTGGTAATAGAGATCTGGCTCAAGGGCCCCCACCTCCCATCTGCAGGAGGAGAGAGCCTGAGGAAAGGGCCAAAGGGAGATGGGGGAGCAGCCAGCCAACTGGCATCTGGACTCCCCTAACCTTTTACCCCGGTACCAGACAGGCTCTCCTGCTCCCACTTATCTCCCAAGTTGCTTTTTCCTGTAGCTGGTCTGCTGGGGAGTAGAAGACAAATGGGGCGTGAAAAAAAATGCAGCAAAACTAATTACAGGTTCTAACAAATCAATGGGAACTGTGTAAATAGCCTCAGGCAGGTGCCCGAGTCAGGCTCTTCGGCTTAACACCGACCCTCCCAGGGCAGCCCCAGTGTGAGTCCCCAACCAGTCCCCAACCGGAGACTGGCACCAACCCTGGTTGTGACGCCTGAGGAGGTGGATGTGGGTCCCAGGTTTGTCCTAAACAGCGTATCCAATGGGCAAGGGGCTCCACGCCTCCTAGCCTCAGGTTCAGGACCTCCATTGAGAGAACAATTGTATCTACTCAGTACCTGCCATGGGTTGTTGAAGGACATCAATCTCAAAGGACTTAGTAGAGTCAAAGTGCTTTGGAAGCTGAATAGTGCTGGACAAACAAATCATCATTTTACCTTCTGATTATCTCTTGAATCCACCCACTCCTCTCCGTCTCTACCAGCACCCCCTTAAGCCAGCTCCCACCATCTCTCATCTGCTCTGCTGCAGTAGCCCCTTCCAATTGGCATGTGTCTACTCTGCCCCATTTCTATTTTAAAAAAATATTTTTATTGATTTCAGAGAGGAAGGGAGAGGGAGAGGGAGAGAGGAACATCAGTGATGAGAGAGAATCATTGATCGGCTGCCTCCTGCACGCCCCCTTCTGGGGATTGAGCCCGCAACCCGGGCAGGTGCCCTTGACAGGGATCGAACCTGGACCCTTCAGTCCGCAGGCCCATGCTCTATCCACTGACACAAACCAGCTAGGACCACTCTGCCCCATTTCTAATCTCTTTGGTGGGCTTGCAGTTGGCATTATCTTTTAAAATCCAAAGTCTGGTCATGTACCCAGGGTTGTCTAAACCGTGTGGACTGGAGGGAAAAGGAGGATTGAGGGTTGAGGGATGAAAGGAGGTTTAGATTAAGAGAAGGAGACAGAGCTGGAGAGAAGGGTAGAAAATTTAGTGTGTTTGGTGTTGCGAAGGATCTGTTACCACTGTGTCCTGCCTTGTGTTGCTTAATAACTCCACGGGAAGACAGAGTTTGCAAATGTGAAACAAATGGAGTGTAATTAAATGCAACGCTGCGTGCTTCTAATTTGTGAAATACTTCTGTTTGCTGCAGAAGCCCAGGGGAAGCTGCCAGTGAAGTCTGGGTTTGATTCAGAACCTTGAAGAGCAAGCTGGGTTACAATGAGGAGAGGATGAGCTTTAGGCAAGGGATCAGATTGGGCTAAGACCCAGGGGCAGGGGACAGCAGTGTGGGCATGTGTGGTGGGAAGAAGCCCAGCATGGGAGCGAGCTGGCTGGACTCTGCTGGGTGGTGGAGTCAGGTGAAGCAGGACTTTAAAGTCTAGCCTGAGGTGATGAGCTCTAATTTAGACTAAATGTGGATAAACGGATGAATTATTGATTTGTGCAATGGATAATTTCATAACTCAGAAGTGGAGGAAGCAAGGAAGAAGCACACTGCTCTGGACTTAACTCTGACCAGCCCCAGGGAATTCTTGTTGGCAATCAAGTGACTGGGGCCTTGGAGAGAGTGACTGTCAGCTTGGAGTGGGGGCACGACAGGCAAGGTCACCGTGCGTGGCAATCGTTCAGGCTAAGCCTGAGGAGAAGGCCTGTGAAAGCCCTGCTTGGCAGGACAGAGAGGTCTCCCCTGGGCAGAGACATAGGGATGGTGGTCGTGGTAGTGCAGGGAGGGGTGGCTGGGACTGGCAGGCGATGGAGGCTCTGATAACGGAATTCTGCAATACAACTAAAGAGAGAAGGCACTGCCCTTCCCCATTATCGCACAAGCGCGTGCGCATGCGTGCACACACACACATACACACACGACATGCTCTCTGCTCCCCACGTCTGCCATTAGGCATTCAGGCAGCTAATTCTCCCACACACACCGCTGAGAGCACCAGGAGCCTGGTAGAGTTGAAAATTGGATGGCGTTGCAAAGCTCATTATAGGATGCCTGAGGGAGTCCACGAGGACAGGGATTTCCCTCCCCCGGCCTCAGCAGGAGGTTCTGTGCCTCTCTGCCTCAACTCCAACCCCCTAGCAGGCCCAACCCTCACTGCCCGCGCCTAGCCCCTGGCTCCCTCCCAGCCCGCTTCAGTTCTGTGCCTGATCACCAGCCATGCCCACCTTCTCTGGGTCCTATTCAGGTTCCTGATCTGAGAAACAACATTTGCCCTAAGCTTTTTGGAGGAGAAGAGGATGGAGCAGGTGGCGGGGAAGTAGGGCCTAGAGAGAAATCCCAAACCAGTCACACCACCTGCCACCAGCGTTAGACCAAGACAGCTCACGGGGAAGTGAGGGCGGTGTTCCCATCCCCTTTCCACACACACCAAACACACACCGTTATAAAGGGTCCTCTTGCTACTCAAGCGAGTGCCTGGCACAGGGTAGGCATTTCAGGTGTGGGTGAATGAGTGGATGTCTGAAGTACTGAGCGCTTGCCCTGTGCCAGGCGTCATTCCTGGCACTTGGGATACATTAGTGAACCAAAGTGACGAGAACTCCTGCAACAGTTAAGCTTGCATTCTAGAAAGGGGACAAGGACAATAGCCACAAGCACAACAAACAAGTAAATCATGTAGTGTATTAGAAGGTGGTAAGTGTTATGGGAAAATATAGAGCATCGTAAAGGGTTGGGGAGGGAGAGGGAGCTGCACTCTCCAACAGGGTGGTCAGGGCAAGCCTGGTTGGAAAGGTGACATTGAAACAAAAGCTTGAAGAGGTGAAGGAGCAGTTGCATCGCAGGCGGTGGAAGCAACCAGAGCAGGGCGCTCTGGAGAAGACAGCAAGAGACAGAGGGGAACAGAGTGGGCAGAGCACGCGGACTTGCACAGGAAGGAAACCTGAATTCAGGCCTCAGAGCAGAGGGTCCCACTACCAGTTCTTCCCTGATTGCGCTACCCAACATAGTATCCCTGGCCCCGGTGCTCTGTCTGCTTCAGTTTCTCCATCTCTCCCACCACCGCCCACATGTTATGTACATGTTTACATTGTCTGCCTCCCTAAGAAAGGACGTCAGCTTCATGGAGACAGGGACTTACCTGTGTCACTGCCCTATCCCCAGGGCCTGGCGCGCAGTAGGTGCGCCATCTGTCTGTGCCCAGTGTCAGAACTGTTAGTGAGTGTGAAGAGGACAGGATGCCTTCCGCACAAGAGGCTGCTGAGGGGCCCTGC